CTTTCTTGGTACAGCTTCCTGTGCTTAAATAACTTTGCAATCGAAAATAGTAACCAAGGAAGGAAAATGATTGGTCCAAGACTCTGTATGAGCTAAGCAGCAGATCCTGGACTAGAACTCTCTCTCCCAAATGAGTTATTCACAAAACAGTTCAGAGTCACTGCATTAGCCATAGCCAGGTAGATTTAAAAGAATTTATAAATGGAATAACCACGTGCTAATGGATGTGAACCCATCAGATCATTTCCATGTTTAAAGGGATTTGGATGCAGCACTTTGTGTAATTTCTTCCCATGTCTGCTTTCAGGCTTCTCTTCATTCTCTGCAGAGCATCCAGAGGGAAGGAAGTAAAGTGTTTCCTGCATTCAGGTAAAACACTGCACAAAGTAATACAAAGATAATTTAAAAGCCAGACAAATATGTATTTACTGGGAGGATCCAGTCTCAGTGGCAGTCCAGGTGATCCAGAAAGGAAACCCCTCCACACTGCAGTGATAGTGAAGCTGCTCAGGCCACTGAGCTCAGTGATGGATTAGCTCAATCACTTCCTGAGAGCCCAGAAAGCCCCAGACTGCAGAGGAGCACCCAGCTCACTGGCTGCAATCTCTCCAATCACAGGGAATATTTCTGACTTCCTCAAACAAAATCTAAACTGTAGTAAAAGGTCAATGTGGGATATCCTAGAGGTCTAGCAGGGAGCAGAGCAGCCCAGATGACTGTGTGCCTTTCATCTTGTGCTGTGCCTTGTGACTGGGTATTTTCTTCAAGGTTTTGTGGATAAAATGGGTTGGGCTGGATAAAAGTGGCTGGAGAGTTATAACCACCTAAAACCCCTTTGGTCTCCAAGGCTTGGAACCTCGTGGCTGCAATACTCTAATGGAAAATATTTGTGGGCTGGTTAAATCTGTGGCTATTGTAAGTGAAGATAAAAGAAATATTTAATAATATGTTCCTGCTGTTGTCCAGCACATTGCTGGCTGCATGAAAGCATGTGGAGTCCTCTCTGTGGCCAGTGGAGGTAACTCAGTGCAATGGGGTGGGAAAGAGGGTGTCACTTATAATTCAATTGTCACAGAGTGCCTGGGGTCATTCCAGCAGACAGCTTTGAGATCTGAAAGGGCTTTTGGTGATGTGAAACATGCATTGCTAAATCCTGGCTTTGATTTGTTTGTTGGAAGCTCAGAATAAAGAGGATAACTTTAAAAGGGGTGTTAATTCCTTGGCCAGGGACAGTTGCCATCTCACCAGAGGCACATGTGTGTAGGATTAGCTCCTCTCCTAGGCCCTTGGAGCTGATCTGTAATATGAAAGAAAAATTTTGAAATGAGCAGAATCTGTGCTGACCTTCCCATATGAGGGGTAAGACTGGGCAGCGACCATGTGGGTGGCAGAGGGGAAGTTTCCATGAAGTCTGGGTGGGAGCTTCTCTAATAATTTGCATTTATAGTGGCTCCAGTTGCAGAAGGTTGGATCACTGGCAAGGGCAGTGTCCCATCCCTGATCCCTGTCTTGTTCCATCTTGTTTTGGGTACTTAAAAATAACTTAAAAATTCCAGCCCTGCATAGGTGAGTGTGACTTCAAAAAAATTATTAAAGCATAAATAACCTCACATAAGAATTTTGGTTTTTTAAAAGAGGTCGTTTTCCTTCATCTGATCCAGGCTTTCATCTCCTTAAGTGTACATATGGACATGGTCAAACTTCCTCTGACTAACTTGGAAGCTATTTGAATATTGCAAGTGTGAAATCGTGACCACACGTGTTCTATTAACACTTTGCATAGGAGAATTGTGTATGTGAGAGGAAAATCAGATGCATATATGAGGTGAAAATGGAAGCAGTTGGAAAAGGCTGGAAAGAAATAAGGGAGACAAAAAAAAAGAAAATAATGTTTTGCGTGTATGTAGCGAAACACATAATATAAATTTAGTTATCTAGGCTGTCTTCTAATCCATCATTTCTCAATACATCAGAAAATTGCTCATAATCTGCTTGAAAAATAACTGATTCATGCTTGGTAAAAATACTGTAGTGAATGATTTTATGTTAAAGGCAGAAAAATGATGGTGAGAGACAGAAATATAAATATCAGTTCTGGAAATGATCGAAACTGTGCAAAGGTCAAAAGATTTTTCCATTTTTGTTGTAATAGAAATGAAAACTTCCAATGTAAACCAAGAAAAAATTAACAGATTCCTCTAAATTTATAGAGGAAGTATAAGTATAGATGCTATTTCTATCTCCTTTTGTCCACCTATTTAAACATACACACACTTCATGTAGCACTGATAGATGTAGGAAGAAATATTTCAAATATCAGGTGACTTCTTTATATTGTGGGATGTTTTCATACTTTTAAATTTCGAAGGTCATGTCTGTCGGGTGGTTTTTTTAAATTATTCAGCTCCACACCTCTGAGGCTCCTTCATACTCTTACAAACCCACATTTTTCACAGTTTTTGCAACTTGGCTTTTGAATGGATTTTGCTGGTTCTGGTACTGTACTCACTTTGACATGCAAGTCCAAGGTATCATTCTGTAGACCTTACTGCAATCAAAAACAAAAAAAATGGGGTTATAGCATAGCTACCACGTTTTCCTGACAAGTAAGCTCCTTTTTTCCTTTCTCCCTTTCATTTTAAGCTTTCCAAATAAAGAATTTTATGGAAAAGGGAGAACATGCAGAGAAAAGGACTTCCAAGGAAAAGATGAGGCTGTGAGTAAAAATGTCTTCCATTTTTTCTTTCTCTCTGAAATGTAGCATGAAGTGAGGGCAGTGACTGTGATAATAGAAGGAAATGATAAATGAAGGAAAGGACACTTCAACATAATCTAGATAACAGGAAAATTTTAAATGGACAATTTAACATGAGAGTCTGCATGGAATTATTTTTCATTAAACAATCCAAAGCTTGTGATAATGCAAATGAAATCCATTTTTAGCTGCAGGAAATTTTGAGAATTTCAGAGGAATAGAAAATAGGAGAATAATAATATCATGATGGTAATTCACAGTAATTATACAAAAGCATAATTGCACAACACAAGCACTAATCAGAGCTCGGGAGAGTACTTTGGCATTCATTAGGATTTCAGAGCTATTAGCATTTACCTTTGTCAATGGGCACCACACAACAAGCAGTATTAATTTCATGTCAATCCAGAGCATAATTTCCCTGATCAGATATCAGTTCATAATAACAAACCACCAAGATTGACTTCTCTGACATGGATTTCTGTCAAGTATTTTAGAAAGAGAGCTTAACTGGGGACTGCCTTGGAGGTAGAAATGTTGTCCTTAAACTTAGGTGATCTCTGGAGGTTTTTGAGCTATCCACTCTATATACAAACTCCATCATTTTTTTGGTATCTGCTGGCCTAAAGAAGCTTCAGAACATTGCCCATGCTGTCCTTCTTCCTATCTTCCGGGAAATTTTGAGCTTCATCCATCTGTGTGTGTGTTAATAATCAAATTATTATTGAACTCTGCAGGTACCTTGTGCTGCTGTGGTGCATGTGCAACTCAGCAGTTGTGCTCCCTGGAGCTTCTGACCTGATGTACAGCTCGTCCTGCATTATTGTCTGTCGAGAATTTGTGTCATTTACTTGTTGGGATTTTATTTCTGCCCCTGCTGACTAGCTACACTTTCCTTCTGCAGCTGCCCTGAATGCTTAATGTGAGGAAAAGAACATTTTGCAGTTCATACCAAATGGTGATGGAGGTGCTGGGAACTTTTGAGCAAATCAGAGTTAAAGGAAGAGGAAGAATATGGAATATTCTCTTAGGTTCAGTAGAAGAAAAGCTGTGTTTTATGCAATAAAAGAAACAAAACTAGCTGAACATGAAGTGAGAACCTTTGGCTTATAACCATTTTTATGCATTATTAAAAATAGAATCTGTTCTTTTACTGTTATTTCCAGACTTTAAGAAGTTCTATGCCATGTGTATAGCTCTTGAAGGAAAGGGTTGTCTACAGGAGAAGACAGTGGCTGGCAAATAAAAGAATATTTCAATTTATTGTCCCATTAAGCAAGATACAACTTATCAGCATGCAGGTGGCTCATGTCCCATTCTGGAAATAGTAAAGTTTTGACTTAGCTTTTCCTTTCTTCAGCTCACTCACTGTCACTGCTTTTCTCTGCCTTGTAGCAGGATTTTTCTCTGTTAGCAACTTATTTTTTAGCACACCATTCTGACACCTTGACAGTTCATGTGCTAAATCAGACTTTGCAGTTACTGGCAGGCAGTTATTAGATGTATTGCACTTAATTAACTTTGCACCTAATTACAAGCAGTGCTGGCCGATTACAAAGGGCATAAATATATTAGTGCCCTGGCTGTCACATCATGAAAATGGCTGTTGGAACAAGTCAAGCAAAAGCAATTACCACATTGTGGGCACAGCAAAGTGTGAAGCAGAGTGCAGGAAGAGGGATGAACTGGAGTTCAATTTGTAGGAATTTCATTTTGCACAGCGCATTTCTGGCCACCCAGATGAGCAAAAAGTATGAGGAGAGATTTCCTTTCACGTGTGTGAAGGAAGAACTAAAGTTGCATAGTGAGAACTAACCTAAGTTTTCTTGGAAACCCACCCTCTGTATCTGTAAATAAAATATGAAGATCCCAGTGTTAAGGAAGAAAAGCTGTCTAACATGAGATAGATGCTAAAAATTCTAAGCAAAACTTGTGATTTAGAATGATACAGTGCAACTGTTGCTTATACAGTAGTTGCCAAAATGAGAAGGAAAGCAGAATTTGGTCTCATCTGTAGAGGGATATGTTGTAAAGAGCAAATGTTAGCACTCAGCTGGCATTCTATGGAAATCTGTCTTGTGTTAGCGCAGGAAAAAAAACCATTTCTGCTGGAAAAGTACGCAAGGCATTCGGAGCAATATTTAAAATTTTGTCAGTGGCTTTGTAAACAAGAATCTGTATGAGAGATGTTTCCTCCTGTATCAAGTTTCTGTTCCAAGCACCACATGCTCTCTTTTGCAGAGGAAAATGGACCATGGTATACAGGTGGCTTAACTTCCTGTTGTTATGCATACAGCTGTGGAGGAATGTTACCTTCATTCCACAAGAATCCTGGCCAAGGAGAAGAGCTGAGAACTGGTAAATATGGTAATTTTTTTTTTCATTCCTTTTTCTGCTTTGCAACAGAATAGTCTCTGAATTAGTAGTGTTTTGCAACAAAACAAAACGTTTGTTTTCCCTTTCAGCAAAACTTAATTAGTCCTCAGTGTGTAGACAAACCACCCTAAGCCCAGTCACAGGAATTTGATGATCAACAGACTGTACTGTCCACTTTGTACAAGGTATGTAATGCTTTGTACTGAGGTCACACATGCCAGTTTTATATAAAGTGGCCAAAAAAAGTCACTGGAACTTGACCTTGCTTGAGGCAAGTAGAAAGAAACAGAGGGAGTCCCAACATGGTGCTGAAAGAGTGGCTGTAGGGCTTGTGCACTGTTGTTATTTACAAGCTCTGGATAAAGAGAACTGTGAGGATGTGTGTAAACCTTTCCCAGCCCTGAACAGCCATTCACTGTTATTCACTTCTCAATAGGCTGGCTGTGCTGTTTCTGATAACTCATGGAAAAGCAGTGGTAGGTGGCCTTAAACACAAGTTTTGGATGCCTTTGCATGCAAAAGTGAGCAGACTCCTTCCTTTGTGTGCCACAGCATAAAGTAGAAAGTGGGGAGATAATGTGTTTGCAAAAGCAGCATTACATCACTGCTGAAAACATTGCTCAGTTAATTAAGCTCTTGGGTGGCCAACAATTTTTACCCTGTATAAAATTAGGGACATTGCTGTAGGGAAATTGTGCAGGAAAATGTCCTGATGGAGAGGCCTGGGGGAGGAAAGCTCTGTCGTGCAAGTAGCTTTTTCCAGAGCCTTCCTTACTAATAGTGAGGAACTTGGCTCAGAAGAGAGCTTAAGTCAGTCAGGGGCTCATGTAGAGCTCTATGATTTCAGTTTTCAAGGGCAAAATATGCGTTTTTTCACTGAAGGGTGCAAGGAATTAATGTAAAATACTGGGGACTTGAGTCTTCCAACACACCAGTGAGTTATGTCCAGCACAAAGCATGTTGCAATGTTAATTGAATGCACTGGAACTACCGAAAAATAAAAAATACTACTAAAAATTAAAAGCGCATCTGAAACTCCATGCTTTGAGGAAAATGAAATAAAACAGCAGTGAGAAGTCATTCCTGCAGAATAGGTCAGTCTTAGTGCTTGAATTTTTTTCTGATATGGATGGTCATAGAATCATTGAGTTGGAAAAGACCCCTAGCATCACTGAGTCCACTTGTAAACCTTACACTAGCACCTGTAGAATATTTCACTAGCCCCCATGGAGTTCTTGGCTTTTTCCACATTTATCATTTTTGTACTGAGACAGTAAACAGAGCTGATTATCTGCTCCTTTTATTCTGTAGCTGAGATGTTTCTTGGTCATGACTTCTGAGGACTTACAGCCTTCCCGGGCTCCCAAGATCCAAGGATGCCCTCTTACCTTGTCTTGAAGCATCTAAAGGAAAACTGGAAAGAGCAGTGATACATGAACAATTCCCAGGTATGTAAAAGCCTGTTGGAGATTTTTTCAGAAATGGCTCAGAAGGCAGCTGTGGGGGACAGGTTCTCACAGCCTGTTTCTGTAAACATCAGAAGTTCTCAGGTTGTTTTTAATTACAAGTAAAAGTGACAAACATGAAGGCCTTGAGAACCTGGCAAACCAGAGTTCTCAGGCAGCTTTCTCATAACAAGTAGATATTCTATCTTTGGCTGTTTTGGGAAAGCAAAAATAATTTTGAGAACCCAAATCTTGGTATTGGAAACATAAGGAGGGGTTGGTGTGTTATCTCTGACCTATTGTGAGCTCGGGTTTGCAATATGCATGAACTTAATTAACACGGTTATAAAAGGTGCCTGATTGAGTCAATAAACTGAGTCAGATGCTGAACAATGAAAGTTGGGTCTTCTCCCTCCATCTTCAAAAGCCCTCTGTTAGACTTTCTCTCTGAGCCTGCTTTGTTCCTGAAGCTGCACACTTTATAGTTTGACTTTTACACTCTGCTGTAATGGCTCTTTCCATCTGAGTGCATCGTGCTGCAGGAAGCTAATTGACTTTGACTCCTCTGCTTCTGTTCTCAGTGGGGGATGCCAGTTGTAATTCTCTTATTGATTGTTTAGAGCAATTAGCGGAAAACAAATTTTTCCAAAGAACAGATCATTTGGTTTTGTTGCTCTCCATCATTAAAGCTGTAATTTGTTATCTAAGAAACAATTTGTTGTCTGGGAAAAAATTAATAGGAAACACATTCCATGTGTTTATTAGCCAAAGAGAGACAGGTTACCTCATCATTAATGTCATCAGTAATTAGCGCTCTCGAGCTGCCACCATCTGCACCAGGGGCTGGCAATCTGTCAGCAGCTTCAGATGCCAGGGCTGAGTGTGCTGGTCTGTGCCAAACCATGGGCAGGCCCTGTGTGATGCCCACGTTTGCAAACAGAGGTTGGCTAATGTAATTTAACTGGACAGGTTTGTTACATCTGTGACTACCACTCTGGGAAGGACACGAGACTTTAAACCTCCAGGGCAATTCCCAGTCATTAGGTCACCAGCAGCAGGCTGAGAATGCCACTCTCAATTAATCAGGTTTCTGATGCCACAACTGGTTTTTGTTTCCGTTTGGGACAAGGTTTGGAAAGGCAGTGTGGTCAAAGTGGCAGGACCTGCACTCACATTCCATCAGCATCACAGCCCTCCATGATAATTGGCAGATAAACCCTGACATTGGAGAGGCTTCTTAGCTCTTGTCATTGAAATGTCTTGTTCTGCTCCAGACTAAAAATAAATTCTACTTTACACCAAGTGAAATCTCTTCAAATAATAATAAAAAAAAAAAAAACAGCCAGGGAAAAATGGAAATAATTCCGTAATATTTAGACTCTAGTCTTAGTGTTTTACTGACTTTTGCTTCTGTTATTCAGTTTGATTTTGTAGTTTTGTTTTGAGGAGAAGTTCTGAAAATTCTCACTGCTTGATAAAATTACCTATGACAATCAGAGAATCCTCAGATCGCACATGCAGAGATTTGAAGGCTTATGTAAGATTGGCTGTGCTTAAGTTTGCATAAAGTTATTATAAAATAAATGATATACATGTCAGTGGTTAGAGGGTTGTTTGTCTGGTAGTTTTTCATTGGTGCTCTTCTGTTCCATGCATTCAGTCATGTGGATAATACATACACAAGTGTGGGTGGAAGTTAAATGGTTTCTATGGTACATGCTTTTAAGCCTACACTAAGGTGTATTACTTCAGGTATTATGGAAATTATAATTAGGGAATATACAGTAATTGTGCTTGTTGATAAAACCTGGACATTTTCTTCTTGAGGGCCAGTGGAGCACAAAGCTGTTAAAAATGTGAATTCCCTCTGACATTGTGGAAAAATCCATTTCACATTTGTAAAGTGAAGCGCAATTTCCAAGGCACTGCCAGATGTTTGTTTTTGATGCATGAAGCCTAAGTACATCCAAGGAGCACTCTGTTGTTCTGATGTGAGAATGTGAACCTGCCTTTGGAAAGCCTGGATCTCAGTCAAAGGTGAGAGGAATCAGGAATTCAGAGTCACTATAATGCATTTGTGAAGATCTGGTGTTAGCAGGAGGTGCAGTTGGATTATTTGGTCACTTAAAAATGGGCAGAAATAGGTCATTGGAGGTAATAACAAAACAGGGAAGAGTATGAAGGATACTAAGAAAGCTGTGATGTCTCAATATGAAAGAAGAAGTTCTGGATATATCTATGTCTATATAGGTACATAATTTGGCAGGTGAACGATACAAGGAAGGAAGGAAGTCACAGGATATTCCTATTTTCTTTTTCATTTCATTATTTTTTTAAATGTTTATTTACAAAAGGTGGTTTGCACTCATGTACTCATCCAAAGCATCTTGAATCTAAATATTCCTTTGTGTTTCAATTGATTTTAGGCCCTGGCATCTTTTTCAGTACTTTTTGCCTAAATTTATGGCATGCAAATTTTTACAGGACTTGCTGCTGTAAGAAATCCTCTGTCCTAAGGAGCATACACTAAAGAAGGAATAAACATGCCATGAAAAAGTCAGATGTTTGATATCCAATAGGAATGGCAGTCTGCTTTGTAAGAATCTTTTGTTCTTTTGTCTAATTTTGTGTCATTTCAGTAGTTTTTTTTAATGTGGTGTCCCAATTTGCATATTACCGCATATAATTTCAAATATACATGTTTATCCTGAGGTATTGGTGGATCAGTACAGAAGACAAAGTCATTTTAGCTTTGGGATTAGAGGAGGAAAAAGAGGTTTTAGTTGAAGTATGGGCATGTCCTAGAGTACAATTGTAACCTCTCAGTCATTTTTCATACCTAATGTGGAAAAATGCCACAGATACTAAAGTTGAATGTGATGCCAATACTGTAAATCCAGTGTAAGGATTTACTGTATCACTGAGCTCTTTAAAATGTTCCTTGGCTTCACTTGGAAGCATTAACTAATTCCAGGTGAGTCACCTGAGACAACAAACCCCACTGTTGGTAGACTTCTATCAGGCAGGGCATGAGGTAACAATTCTCAGGGGGCACGTGTGAGAATATTGTGTTACTGTGTGGTTACCAGCATTCCTTTACTTCTCATTAGTTTATACTGCACTCTGTTATATGAAAATTAATTTCTGTTAACGTCTACAGTCAGGTAATGTACACATATCACTTAGTGAACATAATATACCTTCAAATATTAAATTACAGCCTTTCTGCCTCCCAGGCAGACTGTCAGAGCTGGTGGTATAAATTAATATGTAATGCTGCACAGCTAACAAATCCCTTTGAGCCAAGAGAACTGAAAGCAGCTCCCAGAGGCAGGGCTGGAGTCTTCTACTGGAGGCTACTGAAATCAATAGAAAGACTTTTAATGATTTCATTAATTGCTAAAATAAAGCCATCTCAGGTCTCCCAGTTTCCCACCTGGCTATGGGTTGTGCTTTCCAGCAGGAGTGAAGGTGATGAGAAGGGAGCAGTCCCTTTAGACTAAACAACTAAGAAATTAACCACCCATGATATCATTTTCATTTAGAAAAATAGGATGTAATCATAAATGATTATTATAAATTGTTTCTTGATTGTAAATAATAGACAATGGATAATTGATTGCAAAGTTCAATTAAGAAAGGTCAGCCTCAATGTGTCTTATTTGTGTCTGTGGTTATCACTGGTCAGATGTAATTGCATACTTGTCACATTGCAGCTCTGGAAAATTGGTTAATGTCACTGCAAATTGCAGGTTTAAAAAAAGTAATTATTATATATTTCTTGACTATTTTTAGGTTAAGGGGGTGTTTTTGTCTGGTGATACAAACCAAAGCTTAAAATAGTTAGAGGTGACTCAAAACATCCTCAAAATACCCATTTAATTTTAATAAGACTTGGACCTGACTGTAGGAGCAGGATTGTTTTAGCACATATACAAAACCTGGTAGTTGGCAGAGTCTTACATAGATGCTATGGCAAATTAAAATTTAATAACAAAAACTGTTGCTTCTGATAAATGAACAAAGTGACATCAAATAGCATCACTGAATACTCCTAGAAACTACATGAGCTCCGTTATAGGCAGATAAAATCTAGGATCTGACTGTTAATATCTATATTAACAAAGGCTAAAGAGGCTCAGAATTGTTCCTTCCCTGAGTAAGTGACCATCAAAGCAGAATCTGGGCCTTGTTTTAATCATCTCTTTGTGACAATCTAGTTGGATTATTGAATGATGGGTGTTTTTTGGATTATTGAATGATGGTGTTTTATCTGCTGCACTTATTTCTGATTACACACTGGTACAGGGCCCCAAAGCAAGGGCCTGCTACTGGATGGGACTTACAAAGTCCAGTAGGTGTTTGTATGGCCAGCATCATCATCACCCCCAGATATGAAAAGGAATCTGGGCAGATTCCTGGGCAGATATCTGTAGGCAGTGGGGTTCCTTGCCAGGCTGGAGGTATCAGGGCGTTTGGGAATTGTTTTAGCTGACAGACTGACCTATGAATGCAGAGCTCTTGGCAAAACAATTAGGCAATGTTTCCAGTACTGAGCACCAACCCCAAACGTTTCAAATGTTTTCTCCCAGCTTCCTTCCTGCCCTTCACAGCTTGTTTGTTTGTTTGTTTGTTTGTTTTATTGTTGTTTGCTGTTGTTGGATATATCTTCACATTTATTGTATCAACAGTCAACTTCTGAGATTCTTCTGAGCCATGCTGGCACTGGCATTTTCAATCTGTCAAAGTGCCCAGAACACTTCAGCAGAACCCTCTTCTGGCAGTGCTGGCTATCAGATCTGAGCAAAGGCAGCTCAGGTTTCACAGTGCCTGCTGATACTTGTGGGGATCCAAAAAAGAAACTGAATTTGCCCAGAATGTTGTGGCATATCCCAAATGCAGGAAAGGGGGTTGTGTGTCTGAATCCTTTCTCCATCACAGCTGCTGGAGGCAGAGCATAGCTGGGACAAAGCCAGCCCCATGCAGCAGAGCTCAGCTGTGAG